ATAAGTTTTTACAAAACTTTCGAACGAACGAACGAACAAAACAATTTGTTTTTATGTTGTCGAACGGTCGAACGAACGTTCGAAGCCAACACTAGTCACAATCTGAAAATTTTCAATGAAAACAAACGAATGCAAATTTGTCTGAATTTTTTTTCTATCATATAACAATGTATATTATTCATATTTGAACTTTTTGTTGGAAATTCAGTAAAAAAGATCAACTTTTGCTGGAAAATGTAAACTTTGATTGTTTTATTTATCTTTCTGAAAATATAATAGATCTGGCCATATTTTCTACAGTTTGACAGCATCTGTAGTTAGCATCGATATAATCATCACTGAAAATGGAATCATTTTGAATTCATTCCAAGTAAGGCAATGACTTAATATCCACAACAAAAGTTGACAACAATTTACAGATATCGCTATTTGGGGTTTAATTAAATAAAAATTGAGAGAAAAAAAAATATTCAATACGAAGAATAAGAATATTCAATTGTTATATTAATTTAAAAAGGGAGGAACTGCACCGCTCATCCAAGATGCCATGGGCTCTACGATGACGTTCCAAGAGCTCAAAGATCTCTTATACAAATCGGGTATCAATTTATTTCCAGATAAAGATGCATTTTGCTATTGCGAAGGTAAATCTCACATTGTAAATCATTTGCTTCAAGTCGAAAATAATATTTGTCGATTTTCTTTATTCTCACTATTTATAGGTTAACATCAATTGCAAAATGATAATTTTTTCAATTAATTTATTCAATTTTTCCTAAATTAAAATGTCCAGTGCTTCCAACCTGATATCTCATCAATTGACTTTTTTATTTTAATGAAGCTTTGTGTGAAAAAGATGCCATTATGGAATTCCATTTGTACGATTGCATGGCACATCTCGGTCTCACGCACAATTTCATGTGGTCTCGATGGAACGCCCAACTAAACAGTCGATCAATGGCTTTATTAGTGCGAGAAGTGATTGAAAAGAGAAAAATGGTTCGTTTAAAATAAATTTGAATACACAAAAAAATTTAGTAAATGAATATCAATTCAAATTAACTCAATTCAATTAAATTTTAACAAAATTAATTCAATGTAAATCAAACAGTTGAAATTTTTTTTCAAGTCTATCAAGAGAAAGTTAGTTATCTAGAAAAAATATTTTTGTGTGTAATAAGTGTTTAGTTCAGTGTCACAAAACTACGAAACTCATCGTCTTTGAATTGAATCAAATAACCCAAATATCGCTATATCTCTCCCATTCTGATTCAGCCAACATTTTCAACATTGTTCGTGACTCCATTGAAGGCCATTCTAGTTGAATCGACTGAAGTGTCGACGAGTTTCAATCCAACTGCATTACAGGATGTAAGTTGAAATTGAAGGCACACGTGTCTTCCCGAACATGTGTGTTCAGCAAAGCAATATTTTTATTCAAACATAAAATAATTTTTTGGAATTTATAAATCAAAACTAAAGAATCATTTCAAAAATTTCTGTTATACAGCAATCGATAACAATTAATTGGTATTATTTAAATTCCCTTCTAATTGATTCGTGGAATATTTGGTTCAATTATTGAATAAAAGTCCAAATTTTCCTATATTTCTTCAAATTTTTATACGAAATTCACAAAAAAAAAATTAACTAAAATAATTTTGTGGATAAAATGTTATTTTTTCAATTAAAAAAAATATTTTTCGTTTTCAGCAACATTTTTTCGCTGATTTGTATCATTTGGGCAAGGAAATATCTCAGCCAGCTTCGATCGATAAGCAAAATTCAATGAGTCCATTGCTGCGGAATAATATGCTGCAAGTATTGAAGTCGACGCGACCACTGAGTTTGAGCTAAGTCTGACAATGGCACAAATTGGCGAGGAAAACCACGCGTAATTCCCGTTGAAGGGACGTTCAAGTAAATGGGAAGAAAAATTGAAGAAGATCCAACGATTCAACAAGTTTATGAGAGCTGTTAAAAGCTATTTCAAGCAGCTAGTCCTAAGTCAAAACATTACCTTCCAAAAACCAAAACAGGAACACAAAATTCGAACTGCGATCAACTACAAATCGACTTGAAATTCCAATCAATTGTCCAAAAAAGTCTGAAAAAACCCCATCAAAATAAACATCAATGGTTGTTTGTTTGTTCAATTTCTCTAAAAAAAATCTATGTTTATTTTATTTTAATCCCTATTCGATATGTGGCCTACGCGCGAAATAGTTTACAGCAAAAATAAAGTTAAAAAAAAATTCTTTTTTGTTCGATTTCGAATGATTAAAAATCTATGTATAACACAGGAACACTACGTCTAGTTCGTAAGTTAAAAAAAAAGGTAAATTATTTCTCTAAAAATTTGGCAAGTTGTCGTTTGGCGGTGGCCAATTCAATTTTCAATTCAAAATTTTCCCTCTCGAGAAAAGCGGCCCGAATAGCAATCTCATCTTCTTTGATGCGTCGACGGTCTCGCGATTTTTTGGCGGCCGCATTGTTTTTTCTGCGTCGTTCAAAGTAAGCATTGTCTTTGAGCTGTTCGTTTTTCATGTTGCCGCTCGACGACGAATCTGACTGATTGTTCAATTGATGTTGTGCTTCGATGTTTTGTTTCTGTTGGAAATCCACATCCGCATTTTGTTCACTTTTCGTGGAAATTCGTCGCATTTTGGGATTTGTAACGGTGGGTCGGCCTCCGTTGGCCGCATGGATTTGTTCAAGCATTTGTTGACGGAATACGCTGAATCGTTCGGTCGACATGCGATCGTTGAGTGAATCGGATGTTGGAATGGTGGCGGAAATAGTCAATGGATCACGTGGATAGGCTTTGAATGGTCGAGCCATTTTTCCATCGCGGCCCAATACCAATGGATACTGCATCGAATCTGGAGACAATTGGCCACTGGTTGACACGGTTGCGGGAATATTTTGCAATTTTTGTTGTAATGCTACTGCATGCAAAATGTATGGATTAATTTCGTCGTCGGTACTGTTCACGGATTGTTCACGCATGAAACGATGGTGCATTGGAATCGATTCGGTTGGTGATGGAGTACGTTCATTTTCGTACGGGAATCGAGAAGATGACGAAGAACTGCGTTGCAGGAAACCGTTGGTTTGATAACGATTCGTTGGTGTATCGGAGCGGGTGTGTTGTAATGCCATACCAAAACTACTGGATGACCTTGTTAACGAGGTTGGCGACTCGTTCAATAAACTTGGTGAACTTTCACCAAATGCTGATGAATTGTATGGCGATGGTGTTTTGCGTGTTTCCACCGAATCACAGCGACGAGACAAATCGATCGGCGCCTCAGTGTGACCGGAGAGCTCACTCGTGTCCATGTAGCTGTCCCTCAGCATTTTCTCCGATTTGATTTGACGCGGCAATTCTGAAAAGATAGACGGGAAAAAAGAGTTTTAGTATACGATTGTGGATGTCTGAAAAATGAAATCGGTCGGTTGTTTGGTCTCAGCTAGGGGAAAAAGCTCTCAAGTTGAAATATCAACCAAATCTGTCGAATATTGCATGGTTTTCTGGTTAGAAATTGACATATTTCTTTATCAAGCGGATCGTTTGAGTATTGAATTGAATTGAAAGGAATACTTTTGCATCGCGAAAGTTCTTTTTTGCTTGAAAATTGAAGTCTTTGTAGAAAAAATGGAATTTTTTCGTTGATAGATAATCAAAACAGGATATTTTTCCATGAGAAAATTTGTTTTTTCCTATTTAAAATGATTTTTTGCATCGAAAAAATGATTTTTTTCTAATCAAAATATGGGCTTTGCTATCAGAATATGCGACTAATTCTTATATGTCATGAAAATTTACCATTTTCTTAATGGAAATACTTAGTTTTTTTAGCTTTTCGAACAAAAATATTGTTTTTCTACGGAAATTGATCGATTAAAACCGAATCAATTGCGATGACAATTGACCAAAAGTCACCGAAGGTCAAACATTTTGTCAAAAATTGAATATTCTACTGAAAAACACGGAAGCCAAGAGCCAAACTCAAACCAAAACTTTTTCACAATGAAAAAAACTAAATTTATCACAGAAAACCTACAAATTCCACCGAAAATCTCAAATCTATCAACATTTTTCTACATGTATCACACAAAATTATAGAATAATTCACAGATTGAATAAAAGATCAAATCAAAAAAACATAACACTTTGGTCGTATCACTCAACAAAAAAAAACATAAAAAAACTTACCACTTTTGAGATTTTTGAGTAGAAGTTCTTGGTTAATCATGGCGATAGCGTTGATGGCGTTCATTCGTCTGGCGTTGATCAAAAAATGATTTTTTTTTTAAAAAGGTGGCACAAAAACTGATTTCTTTAAAATAATACGCAAAATAGTTGGCGACGGGCCGAAATAAAATGTGGTGCAAATTGATCTGTCAATGGGTTTACGCATGTGCCCCTTGGCATTTGCACTGTTCATGTGTTATCTACAAACTGACCAAATTCGGTATAGTATGCGCACTCTTATACCTCTTTCGTCTCGTCGCTGTCGTCGTCTGCTGTTGCCAAAAAAAACACACATAGCCAAATGACACCCGCAAAGGAGAAACGGAGACGGCAAATGGCACAGCACAAGTGAATAACTGTGTTGCTCTGTCTCATTTTGTCATTTGGTTTGTGTGTGCACGCACACACACCAAATGACTGGAGAGATTAGAAGAAGAAGTGGAAGAATGAGCAAAACGAATGCTGTGAAATGCATTGTATTGTCCATTTCGGCCAAAACAAGCGGCGAAAAAGGAGAGAACAACAGAACGATATGATGTGTTTTTTTTTTTTTTCAATATGCGGATTTTTATGACAAAAACTCTCGCTCACTCTCTGTTCCAAAACACAAACAATAGAATGCACACATCGGACCCTTTCCATTGTTTGGCACTCATAAGCCGTTCATGATCATAATTACAATTTCTCTCTGTCATTTTCATACACTTTCGTTCTATTTCGGTTGCACTAGATTTTTCGCCATGGTTCGGCCAAACATCGATGTGTTTCAATTGAAAGAGACAAACACATCGGTGTGTTGCTAATGCTGGACATTTGGTTGTCGTATCAAATCGACACGCACACACAGACGCTTGCATGCAAAAACACAAGTGTGAGCAGTATGTATTTGCCAATGAACCATTCGACGTACTGTGTAATGAATTTATGCGCTGTGTTTGCGTTCTTGCCTAGTTTGATGTTTACTTGAGGTTACATATGTTTTGGATTTGACTGCGCCGACGTAAAAAAGAGATCTCTTCTCTCATCTTTGTTAGGATGCATACATTTCGGATGTTTTTCTTTCAATTTCAACGAAATTATTTTGTTGATATTCGAATATTCGGTTTGAGCTCAACTAAAATACTTCTTTAATTCAAGTAAAGACGATTTTTTCGTTTGGTTTGTTCCGATCCTATCCAAAATCCAGTCATTTACTTCATACTTTGATATTTTTCCAATCTTTGACTTTTTTCAATCGAGTCGATTGAACCGAGAGTCAAAAGTCTAACTATTTTCAATTTTGAACCAAAAATGCTTTAGTTTTGAATTGAAACCCCCAATTTTGAATGAAGACACCGACATTAATCGATCGCTTGTGACAATTCTAGTCGATTAAAGCCGATTCAAGTCGCTTTGAGTAGATTTGAGTCGATTCAAGTAGATTAGTTAATTCAAGTCGATTCAAGATGATGCTAGTCAATTCACGATGATCCTAGTCGATTTGAGTCGTTTTTGAGTCGATTCAATAAAATTTGGAGCTCCGAGGTCCCAGCATATTAACACTTCTTCAAAGTTTCAAGAAAAAACTTCAATTCAAAAAGAAAACATTCTAAAAATCGATGATTCCAAACGAAATCGACCAAGAATTGGATCGACCCTCTCCGAATTGGCTGAAAATTTGCTTGGAGTCTTGTTTTCGGTAGAAAATGAGAAAACCAAAATCTTAGGCCTGTAAGTGGCCTACATTTTTGAGTTCACCCAGTGTAGGGTATTTTATCACACACTGTGTAATGAAATTTCACAATTGATATTATATGGCGCAAACCCTTTTTTTTTCCTACATAAATTGTGTTAATCAACTTATATAATATAATCCCTACCAGTGTAGGGTATTTTTCGAAAAATTGAAAAAAATCGAAAAAAAGGGTTTGCGCCAACTGAAAACTAACTAAGAAGTAGTTGACACATCACCAAACCATTGGTACCGTTGGAAAGATAATTGATGGGGCTACAAAAATTACGAAGTCACCTTCCCCTTTTAGTCGACCAAGTTGATTTCTTCGAGGCATGCATCGCTTAGTGCACTCTACTCCAAACTACATTTATGTTCCGAAAATTCAGAATATATTTCAAGAGACAATTTTAAATAAAAAGAATAAAAACAAACCACTTGAGTTGTTGTCCATTAATTTTGTCCCTTTGCGTATTTTTTAGCGGGTGTTAGGTGTCAAGTGTCATGTGTGTCTATGATCTACTAGGCTGTTATGTTCATAAGATAACACAATTTATGGACGAAAACAAACCCAAAAAATGACAAAAATATGAAAAAAATCGCCAGTTGAAAACATCGGTCGAATCAGATGCATTTTTCGGCCTTTTAGGTTCATCAAACGGGATTGAGATAAGACTAAATCGATTCCTCGCTCAAAATTACATGGAAATAGACTCATACCAGGCCACCATAGGTGAGTTTTCTATGCCATAAGTGTGATTTTGTATGCGGATTTTGACCATTCGCATTCTTTATGGAGAAATGTCGATTTCAGACCAAATTTATAGGTAAACCGATGTTCAAATGTTCATATTTTCATGTATTTTGACGAAAAAATAGCAGTTTTCTCAGATCAAAATGTCATAAGAAGCCATTTTCGACCATTTTTCCCATAAAAACGGTGAAAAATGATATATGATTCACTTGCCGAGGCCATATACACGAACTGAATGGGGGTTATACACGAAATTTTATTTTTCCATCTGAAGCGGCGCCACCTGAGTGTAAAAAAAACGCAAAAAAAACATGTCAAAAAAACACCACTCTTTTGAGATATTTCACTTTTAGTAATTTGACTCCATTTTTGGAGGCCCCAAAGGTGACTTCGTAATTTTTATAGCCTCATCAATTATCTTTCCAACGGTACCAATGGTTTGGTAATGTGTCAACTACTTCTTAGTTAGTTTTCAGTTGGCGCAAACCCTTTTTTCGATTTTTTCAATTTTTCGAAAAATTTACACTGGGTGAACTCAAAAATGTTGGCCACTTACAGGCCTAAGATTTTGATTTTCTCATTTTCTACCGAAAACAAGACTCCAAGCAAATTTTCAGCCAATTCGGAGAGGGTCGATCCAATTCTTGGTCGATTTCGTGTGGAATCGTCGAAATGTCAATTTTCAAGCTAAAATCTGGCTAATTTTCTCATTTTATGATTTTGTGAACTTTGAATTTCGAAAGAATCACAGCATCGAAACCAAACTCTACTAATTTTGTGTCATTTTTTCTAACGAGTTTTTTTTATGGTGTATTCGTCTATTGTTTTGGATTACTATGGGTTAAACCCGAAATTTGGTTGATTAAGAAGAATAAACTATGCTACATTTTGAATAACATTCAAATGTAATCCATTGCAAATGGGCATTTTGGTCCATGTTTGAAAAAAGGGAATTTTTTTTAGCTAATACTATGCCGAATTCTAGACACCTATTTTGGAACATGTTCTTGTATTTATTCTATTCACCTTATTGTGGGTAATTGTTGGTTGTTTATAACCCAAAACCACTGAGTCAAAAGAAAAACAAACTCCCAATAATGAGAGAGGTCGAAATTGCCTTTGATGATTTGTCAAAACAGGCACTATATCCTCATGATCGGCACTTTACGCCAGGATTATAACCTATTATTCAACATATTGGCTGCACCAAGCGCCCGATACACAAACGGTATTGATTTGTTTGTATTATTATTCAATCAATGAGGCCCATTTGATGTGCGACACAATCAGGTTTGTTCAGTGTCATGTTCGCCATGCATGATTTAATACAATTGGGTGCGAACGCAATACACACCAAAATGCAAACAAATATCTATATCAAAATGAGTCCCTTATGTAATCGATGCAAACCCGATGCACCTTTTTGTGGGTAATTTGTCGTTGATGTTGACAAGCATTGTAATTAGGTGTGCTTTTGGCCACAATACCGACAAGTCAGATAGTCAAGCAGTTGTTTTGTGTTTAACTGTTATAAAATGCCTCCCATAAGGTGATTAGATCACAGTGTAATTGTAACTTGGTAGCATTGAATTCAATGACATCGTCTGCTGAACTTGGTGCTTGCGTGTGTTATTATTACACATGCATGGGTGTGTGTGTATGTCGCAGTTCGAGTCAACTTCGACAACGATAATGATCGGTCATTCGAATTGCATTAGACCCAAAGCACATCTCTAAGATTATTACAGTACACAAAAAATCGACCATTTTTATTTGTTCAAGATGTTTACCACACATTAGATACGTTCCTTTTTTGAGAATGTCTCTTCTTCAAAGAGACAATAAAGAGACAAAGCCGCACGTTTATTTTCTCGAGGCTTAAAAAGAAAGTCAAACACTTCTTGTCTCCATCGAACATCACTTCTTGTCTGAAATGCAACGCAAAAAAAACTTCAACGCCCACAGCGCATCGTACACTTAACCGACCAGGACAGGAGAATAAAATAAATGAAAGACTTTATTTAAAAGAAAAAGAAAAGCAGTGTATAAAAGACTTTGTTGTTCTATTGCACCACTTAGCCGGAGTGTCCCCCAAATGAAGCCATTGAAAATTGCATTCGAACTGACACAAAGATGACAGACGGGCTGCAATTAAATTTGATTATTTCATTAAGCCACGAGACAGAAAAAATAATAAATGCGTGTCACGATCCTGTTGGCATCGATTGTGGGTGCGTGCGTTGTAAAAATGACCGCATTCAACATAAAAACCGAACGGATTGAGCGGACCAACGACAACATTATATCGCTTTGCGCCGTTATTTTTCCTCGGAAATGCAAACAATCACACGGAAAAACGGAATGATGAGTAGAAGAAGATGTGTCAACATGTTCGAAAAGGGGTTGAATTTCACATTTGCTTCGAATCGATTTAAAAACACATTGGCCGACCGAGAGCGAAGCACACACATCGCACATTTTTCACATGTGTTCGGTTTGCCTCTCAACAGCAGGAAATTAGAGAATCGACCGAAGCATTGAGAGTGAGTGAGTGATCGAAGCTGAAGTAATTTCGACTCAATATTTTGAATACGGTTCTGGGCAGAAGACAATGCGACCAAAGCGAGAGAGAGAGAGAGAGAGAGAGAGAGAAAAGAGGTAGATTCACATTAATTCATCATCGCTTCATAGGCCAGTGTATGTATGCATTGCCACCACAGTGAAGAATAAAATATGCCATTGTTCATCGACGACATTCATCATCTTTTGATGCCTTTGTCCACATTTATCTGTCGAATTGAAGAGTGTTATTTGTGTGGGTGTTTCTCTTCGTTTGCCAATATTCCAATGGTTAATCCACCATCGGCAATGTTAGTCGACCGAAACGATCGATTGATTTAATAAATGCCGAAGTGTGTGAGGGCCTCTGTAAGTGCCGTTCGGTTGTGCACTGTGTTCAATACAGTTACATTTCGCTCGGTGAACCACATTCGAACGCATTTCAATGGAGGGTTTTATGGATGCGAAATACGAAATTT